CATGCATACATACGTACATACATATCTGTTGCTGCTTTGTACTAAAAAAAGATATGTACAACTTGAAGTAGCACAGCACGGCACAGTGCAGTATAGCGTAGTGTAAGTGTTTTATAGTATAGTAGTACGATGCAATATAACAAATCTTACTGTGATATTCTAGAGCCATACAAGAACATATGCTACAGTGCAGTACCACAGAATGTCAAATAGCATGCTAAACTAAACACAATACAGCTCAATACGAGTTAACCTCAGACAACACAAGCCACAAACAACAAACAATATCTAGCTAGAGCATGTACTAGCATCATATGATACTCCATAAAAAGAAGATGGCAGATCATATGACATCAACACTTAACTTATACAATATCGCGTAATATGCCGTACTATACTAAGTCAGTGTTTTACCAATAGCCGATATTGCAACATAACGCGAAACGATATGACTGACGTAACACGCAAACGACTGCCATATGGTTTAATATGATTCACTATGACTGAATGTACTATGACACAGCCTAGTCTGATCAAACAACATCACAGAGTTTAGTCCATAATGACATCAAACACAAAATAGCAATACAAAACAAGATGGCAGAACATACCGTAATGTACTATGATATAACATTCCATAAAGTGACATAAATAAAACATACACTGGAACAGTAATGCAGTTAATGGTATGAGATGCCATGATCCAACAAGATACATGATACACTAACATGTAGCAGAACACATTCCAATAGCACAGTACAGTGTTAGTACAAACCAACACAAAATGATCAAATATAATACGACCCACTATCCACTATAAGCCAATATAGGATACTGCAAGCTACGATACTTTAATATAAAGTCAGAGCATACAACAGACTACAAAACACTCTATATTGTGGTATTATTAACTTTACTATATTGCAACTTGCTGTAGCATAACATACTATACTCTAAACAGTTTACAACCGCCTTGTCCAATCTGTATACATATACCTATACATTACAAACATGTCAAGAACATTTCATGAACTACTATATATATACATATATACATATCACCATCATCAGCATCATCATCATCAACAACAACATCAGCATCATGGGCTACAGTATGTAGTAATGGCGCTGTAATGTAGTGGAAGGTAATGTGATGAAATGTGACCTCATGTAGTGTAATGTGATGTAATGCCACACAAAACATAATCTATATATATATGTATATATATATATGACTCTCTATGTCTGTATGTTTGTATATGTAGATTATAGTATGTATACGCGTATGAAGGTATAGGATTACACTGTATACAAGATACGGGGCATGTAGTAGGTTATTACCCGGGGATCCCCTCACTGCTGTGCAGTCACACCTTCTTGAACTCCTCGGCATCAAAGGCATCCTCCTACACTGATAAGGATTTCGGGTTTTGGGATGTAGGGCTGTTATGACAGTCAACAAATCTCAAGGTCTCGGATTTCGAGTTGGGGCGCCGAAACAAACACAAGCACTTAAAGTCTTGCAGAACATAAACATGCCAATGAGACGGAGAGAAGTTTCAACTGTTCAGGTTGCGCTTATTTGGTTTCTGTGTACTCAAAAGGCCAATTTTCCCACGTCGGTTTTTGTCTGAACTTCCGCCATAAGGCTATTTCAGGCTTCCCAACCTCTTCTCGAATTTGACCTTTCAAGTTTCCTCCGTGGAAACAGCTCTGCAAATTTGCCCTGCATGCAAGCCGCTCCTTGAGGTTGAAGCCCTTAAAGGTGGATTGTGAGCCGCCCATGGCTGGCTACTTTCCTGTTTCTGGGCTTCGTCTGAGCGATCTTTGCTGGAACTTGCACTCAGTTCCGCTCAGAATGCAAAAAGACTGCACTGTGGCATCTACGACGTCGAACCTACGCATCTTGCAAGTAAGTTTTCATCAGCTGTCCATGACGACAGCGGCTGCCAATGCTTGTCAGTCCTGGTTGAATACAACTTCAAGCGTGCAGCAGCATCCTACCAGCCTACTAGCCATGTTTCAGCACTTCGAACTTGGATTCAGCTTTTGTCTCGTGACCTCGGTCTTATTAAGCAGCCCTGAAGCGCCACACACAAAGGTCGAAGCCGCAGCTGTGAAGGGCGCTTTCGGTACGAAAGGCAGCGAATGGCATTCATGCCTGACATCTACCCCCTGGCTCCCAGTAAGAAGCAGTAGGAACTAGACGCTATCAGCCACGTCTGGACTTCCGATATAATTATCTCATTGTATAACAGAACAGAATTATTATGGCACTTGGGTACTCGGAACCAGGAGAACTATTGAGGATTCGGTGACTGCGGGGATGTGCGGCAGCGAAACACCTTGGCAGACCGCTCGCCCGCGCCACGGGACAAAGAGATCATGCAATGCTTGGGAGCATCATGCGGCTTTTGCAGCAAACTCCACATGCTCTCTGCTGGCGCATCTGTGCTAGCGTCTGGCTCTAAGCATCAAGACCCATCTGATCTATATAAGCATATATATATATATACACATGTTCCAGGGTGGGAATCCAGCACATAAGGCAAAAGTGCCTCCTTCGGCTAGGAGCAACTCGAAAGGTCCGCAAAGCGCCGGCGCCACTCACTGCTACGATGATTACGAGGTTTCACTGCGATGATGATGGGAATTGCGATGGGGATGGTGGACTAAGAACATGATGATGATTATGATGATCATGATGATGACGATGACGTTGAAGATGATGACGGTGATGACGGCGATGACGATTATGATGTGTTGAAGCTGATGGTGAGTTTGATGTTGATGTTGATGCTGATGCCGCTGACGATGTTGATGATGCTGGTGATGACGACGACGATGATGACCGTCCTTGTTCTGTTCGGTATAGTCAGCGGTTTCAATCTTTCGTTGTGAGTCATGGTTTCGTGCTCTCATGTCCATGTGCTTGCATGTATTAGCTGTGGCTGCGGGCCCAGGCATCGAAGGCATCACTGAAATCAGTGGCTGATCCAGGGTCTAAAGCCCCTCCACGCTCCGCAGCACTGAGCTGGCTGGGAGGATCCTCCAACATGTCACTCTTTGAGTAGATTTCCTTGTGCTAATTTTGTTTTGGGTGCTGTGTGAGGAAGGGGATTCCACAGAGACGGTGTGATTTGGATGTATTCGGCCCTGAGTTACTCAATCTTCTGAAACCTCCATTTCTGAATGGTCTCCTGCGTCGGAACGCAAAGCTGACCCTGTCAGTGTAATTGTCAACCCTGCAAAACTGTACCCCTACCTGGCCCTACGTGTCAGTCACGAAGTTGTCGACAACTGCCCTGCTCTATTGCATTTCCCATAGCATGCCGGCAATGACGCACACTCGCGAACCTATCACTGCGCGGCGACTAGCTGCTAAGTACAGCTGGGATGTCCTCGGAGACGAAGACCCATCAGAAGGGCATGGGAGGCTAAAAGCAAGGCACAAGATGACCCCACAACGCCGCCCTCAAACCTGCAAGTCTCCATCCAGCCTGGCCGGAAAGTGGCAGTGGCATCTGCTTGCCTCGGACCGCAACATCGCCCCTTTGTTGACAGTACTCACGCATCACCCCTGGTACAGATCTCTGCAACTGACGACAAACGGATTTGTCTAGGACCCTGCAAGACAAAGGCCCCCGCAGTATCCACTGGAAAGCCGGCTTTCGTCCAGTCCACTACCTCAGTATTCGTGACCAAGGTGGTGAAAGCAAAGACTGCCTCATTTCACAAGCGGCAGGCAGCAAGCACTTGCAAACGGAGGCGGCTAACTGCATCTTCGACCATCCCGCCTACGTCACCAGGATCCGGAGACACCTGAGTCGATCCAAGCAGCCCTTATGGGAGCCCGCTCTCGTATGTTTGTACGTGTGTGTGTGTGTGTGCGTGTGCGTGTGTTTGTGTGTGTGTGTGTCTTTGGTTGTGTTTGTATAAAGATTGGTGGATTTGCTGATTGGGGTACAAGGTTAGGCGAAGTTTGGGCTTGAGGTGGTTTGAGGCTTTAAGTCGCGGTTCGAGATTACTTTTGCATTATGTTTCGCGGGATTGTAACCGATGAACTACTACCTATCGATGCCACTAGTATCTCAGGGTTTTGAGTTTAGGAGTTTAGTACTTAGAGGCAAAAGATTCTTGGCAGATTTTTGAACCCCTCCAAAAAGGCAAACTTTTGGTTTCCTTATTATAGTTCATATAAAAGTCCTAAGAGCCAACCAGGAGAACGCCAAGGATTTTTTGCATTAGCGGAAAGGGGCCCGCGGACAGCTGCCGAGGATTTGCGCGCTCAGATACACGTCGCAACCGAGGCATCCACAGCCCGTTCCACTGCGTTTGTGCCTTTCACGACGACTGCAACGTGGGAATCTCACATCGGGATACTACAACTCTCTGGCTAAAACATTACTCCCGAGCTCTTGCGATTGCTGCATGCTGTTGGAGCTTCTGGGTAGCCGCATCCTTCCCTTGAGACACCCCAAACCCTAAAGCCCCTAAACCCTAAACCCTTCGAGACTTAAGTAGAGCTACACAGGGACCTCCGAGGTCGGCCTGCCTGGTGGGAGAGTGACGAAAAGCTGCGAGGCGGAACTCCTGTACCGGGATACCACAGGAAAGTTTAGGGTTTAGAGTTAGGGTAGGGGTTAAGGGTTTAGTCGCAACTAGGGTACAAGGGAGTAATTAATGCATTCAGAATGGCGACAGGCAGCTGCATGCCACCAAATTGCTCTGCGACTACTTCACTCACTGCTGCGGGCTGTCCTCGTCGAGACCTGTTTCTCAAAGTGCGAAACGACCTGGGCGGAGCTAACCCTTGGATCAGTAAACTTCATGCATCAGCAGTAGCATTGTGCGGCGGCAGAAGTAGGGTAGCAGCAGTGGTAGTAGTCGTCGTCGTTGTAGTCGTCGTAGTTGGAGTGGTTGTGGAGTCAATTGTGCATGTCATCAACACCGTGATGACAGCATATGACAGCGCTGCTAGTCAAGATACTAACGATCACAAACATCACAACCATAGCCACAACCATCTGGGAAACCGGCATCGCGAACGCTCCTTCGCCTTGGAGAATGCTTCTTGTCACTGGCACTGTCGTTCGGCTTAATGCCTTACGTTCTTCATGGATTCACTTGTTGCCTCAATGGTTGAAAGAGTTTAGAGTGCAGGGTGCCAGCGTCTTGCAATACAAGGGCTTCGGCCTTCCCACTTCCAGGTCCTCGCAGGTGCTTTTATGTTGGAAAGGTTCTTCTACGACTGCTCTTTCTGGCGTCCCAAACGACAATCGTTTTGCGGTTTCAGGGCTTGGGCTTAGGCCAAGATCAAGGTTTACGGCTTAGGGCTTGGGGCACACTCGGTCATGCGGTAGTCCGGTAGTCCTCAGAATCATCATCATCTTCCACGCCAGTTCCCATTGCTGGAGGATCCTCGCAATCACAAACTGAATCACAAGCACTGAATTGCGGGGCACGCTCGTTGTCTAGCGGTTGCCTCGGCAACTGATCCAACGCTCTCCGACTGCAAGACATTCACTGAGGTGCACGGTGGCGATGTCACCTTCCAGTCGGCGGCGAAAATATAAAGCATCTCTCTGCTGGAAGATAGGACGCAAGGTGACCGGTTTCAGACTAACTGATGGACTGAATGGCCGAGCGATTGTACAATCCAGGGACAATTGTGGGTGACGGGTGCTGAATTTATGTGTCTATGCGCTGCAACCCACCGACAACAGCCTTAACTGGGCAGGAACCAAATGCAACAAACAACTTCAAAGCAAACTAAGCCAGTAACTAAGGCACTAAGCATCCTGGGTACCATGGCACATCCAGGCACTTCACAGCCTCCTTTCTACATCAGCGTGCAAGGCCCGGTCGGGCCAACAAGGTTCTTTCAAGGCGTCCATTGTCGAACTGTCCCGTTGAATTCCTGTACGAAAGTAAAGGCATGATACCACTAAGGGTTGAAGATGAAGAGAGCTCGCTGCTCTCTAATCCTCGTAGGGCCCCTGCATGGCCGCTGTGTCCTGCAAGATCTTAGCGGCTTGCTCCGGCTCCATAAGTTGGAAGAGACGAATGTTTCTGATGACGGCCTCCGCATCATTGCTCGTGCCTGGGGGCGAATGCGACATGGGAACCGCCTGTGGCATGTTGATGAAGGCACGCGTGAGGCCAGGAGTCGGAGTCCACGCCATTGGATACGGAGTCATCGTATTCCACGACATCGTGGTGCACGGCATTTCTGCGGCTGGAATCTTGGAGTGGACGGCATGATGGTACACCTCTGCGCCAGCCGCTCTGTACTCGTGGTGCTCACGCCTGTTGTGGTCAAATGAAGCCCTGACACCATACCTTACAAATTTACTGCATCTTGGGGCCTTTGAAGTGGAACATAGAGCAGAGTACTGTGATTCAAGAACTAACAACACATGCTTTTGAGTGCTCTTCGCGATGGCTCTGTGCTTCGGTTGGCCTCCAGTTCCAATAGTCCTGGTCCCACTCGCCGCGACGGCGCCGCCCACCATACCGGCAATAATTGCCGCCGCGATGCGCCATCGTCGCAGGCTTTATGCTGGGAGGCCGAGACGACTGCGGCCCCTCTATCTTTTAACTTTGAGCCACAGCTACAGACAGCTCTTGATCACAGGTGTTGGCTCAAGCAAAGAACACGCCACACACAATTTTATGGCATTTCCGTGGCTGAAATCTTGGAGTGGACGGCGTGATGGTACACCTCTGCGCCAGCCGCTCTGTACTCGTGGTGCTCACGCCTGATGTGGTCAAATGAAGCCCTGACAGAATACCTTACAAACTTACTGCATCTTGGGGCCCTTGAAGTGAAACATAGAGCAGAGTAGTGTGATTCAAGCACTAACTAATGAATGCTTTTGAGTGCTCTTCGCGATGGCTCTGTGCGTCGGTTGGCCTCCAGTTCCAATAGTCCTGGTCACACTCGCCGCGACGGCGCCGCACACCATACCGGCAATAATTGCCGCCGCGATGCGCCATCGTCGCAGGCTCTATGCTGGGAGGCCGAGACGACTGCGATCCCTC